GAGATGGGAGGGTTACGTTGAGAAGGTACAAGCCAGGATACAGGTATTGAGCTTAGCCCATAAAAGACTCCACCTCGAGTACAGAGGCTGATAAATACAGGCTGGTGACTAAGCTGAGGTTCCTAAAAGATAGAGAGCAGCTGCAGCAGGGAACGGGTGATAAGGATAACAATGGTAAAGTGCTGATCTGTAACAACAGGACAGATATGACAATAGAATGCTCTGCCCAGAATCTTTGTGATACTGTAAAGAAGAGGGAAGAATCAGAAGTGGGACGGGGGATAATAAGCAAGCACAAGGCCCAGGTTAAAGTAGAAACTGTTGTCAGAATGTCTGAAAGTCCTAATTGCTGGAAGTTATGAGGAATGAGGAGGAATATATTTGTTTAAAGTTCTCTTACACAAACTAGGCTCCCAGAACATTGTGTGTGAAAGGAAACGGAGAGAAAGGAAGTGATTCCAATTATTGAGTGTTGGGTCTGTACGACATGGGGTAAGCACCAAGATGCTTGAGTGAGGACACCAAATGGTCACCACTAGGAAGTCAGAACTGTGATATAGGAGAAAGAAGACCTGAGAGAAGAGGGGGTCATCCACTGCAGTGATTCTTAACCGGGGTGCGGGGTGGGGGGTGGGGGGTTCTACCCGAGGGAGTGGGGTGGGCACGGCCCCCAGGTGGCCTATCAGAACACCAGAGGTGAGGCAGTGATCTGCTCACAAATACTAACAATAACACCAGTTAGAAGATGGTTCTGATAGGCTACTGGGGGGCCATGCACCCCTGGGTGAGAATCACTGGTGGAAGGCGGGGGGGTAGGGACTGGAGATGGCTACAGAGAAGGAAGGGTGAGCAGATGGAGGCTGTGAGTCCAGGCAGATGGAGACATCAAGTCATGACCGTCAGACTTGGGAGAAAAGGTCCCGCTGGTGCAGGGGGATGACAGTGAGCAACTGGATGCAGTGCAGAAGGAAGGTGTGAGAAGGATGAGAGCTGTGTGAGGTTTCCTGTCAGGGGCAGGAGTGCAGTGCCAACACTCTGGTCCCTGCATTGAGAAAGGTAGATACTGAATATGTGTGGCTGGTTGTCCATAGGGAGGCAAGAGCAGAGGAGAATGGAGTGAGGGGAGCTCATGAACAGAGATGACTGCTGAAACAGGAGGGAGAGTTAGGGGCTAGAGTGCCAAGGAAGAGAGCTATAAGTCCAGCAGATAGAGTGAGAAAAAAAGTAAAAAACATAAAAGAAATACCTGAAAGACTATTAGGAGGGGAGCTATGGTTGTTGGGAGTCAGAAACAACACACATTTGTAGATCAGGGTGGTGAGCCTGAATGGCTGGGTAGAGCACGTGGATTTTGTATAATTTGCCTAATGAAAGGGATATTGGATATATTTTCATTTGTCAGGACCATGAAAAGAATTCCCATGGAACAGGACAACTACTGTCTGACAAATCAGATAGCTAAAAGAATGGCAGATGGGGAAGGTTACATACTGGGACTATGTAGAATTGTTGGGAAGCAGGATAAATAAGTAACATATATCAACAATGAAAAGGAGAGGAAGTGAGAAGTTTTAATTTATGGAAGTCAGAAAGATGAAAAGAGAAGGAGTCCTATGGGCTGCTAAGATTGCAAGGACAAAGAGGGGGTGAACTCAGAGAATCCAGGGACTCTATCATCTATATGGGCAAAAAAAAAATTGAAATCATTTGAGAGAAAAGGCTGTGACATGGATAGAATTTAGGAAGGAAGCAATGGTAAAAGAGGTCTAAAGAATGAGGCTGTAGAGGCAGCCATGACCATTGAGAACCACTGAGTCAACAAAGGGCTTGTTGAGTAAGAAAAGTTACAGGGCCCAGGTGGTGGCAGCACGCGCCGTTAATCCCAGCACTTGGGAGGCAGAGGCAGGTGGATCTCTGTGAGTTCTAGGCCAGCCTGGTGTACAGAGTGAGTTCCAGGACTGGCTTCATACATAGCTACTGAGAAACCCTGTCTAGAAAAACCAAAAAAAAAAAAAAAATCCAAAAAACGCCCAAAAAAAACAACCCCCCCCCAAAAAAAAAAAAAACAAAAAAAAGGAAAAGAAAAAAAACAAAAACAAACAAAAAAAAAACCCCAAAAAACAAAACAAACAAAAAAAAGGAGGAAAAAAAGGAAAGATATAGGGAACATCTTTTGCAGAGAACACTGTCACCAAATTAGCACAGCTAGGATTGTCTGGATGAACTAATGTAACAGAAGGACTCAGTAGGGCTGGCTGGGAACAGAGGTTGGCAATAATTGTAACAGTAAGGGAAAGCTAGGAATATAGTAGGCATGAAGGGCAGAGCTCCTGGGTCCATGAACTGACCGAGAGCTTGCAGGAGAAATACCATTGCATACAGGGAGGATCTGCAAGGTATCTAGAAAGGACAGCATGAGAAAATAAAGAGACGGCTGTGCAATGATTACATTCATATTCAGGGTAGAAAGAGACACACTAGAGGTGTGATGGCATGGGAAAGTGACAAATGAGAGTCAAGTAGGGTCAGGGGAGTTAACAGAAAAACAGAAGAGGAAGCAATTCACAAACAAACTTTATGTATTTGTGATAGTTTAAACAAAGGTCAAGGGGGCAACAATGAAAAACAGAAAAGTAGACTTTAGAGTTTCGTAGCTGGGAACAGATGTCAGGGGACAGATTTATAGGATTGGTGGTAACATTGTCAGATTTCATAAGAGGAGAACAGAAGCAAAAGCCTGGGTGTTTGTAGAATGGAAGTGGATGGCATTTGTAGCAAAGAGACAAGAGTAGCTTGAATTAGAGGAAACCAATTGAGGTACATCATATGGACTCCTGCACAGACACCTGTTAGGCCGCCTAGAAACATGGGACTGGACTCATGAAGAGAGTCCAGTAAGAGTGTACATATGGGATGCGTGCAAACGGTGGAGGCACAGCTGGGTACCAATGCGGAACAGCCACTTCGCAGTTGACCTCTGAACCTGTGCTTCCACTGTTCAAGATTGGCTGAAAGGACAGAGGTGTGCCGTGCAACAGAGAGACTGTGCAGGGACAGGAGATGTGCTGAAAGTGGGCAGAGGGTTTCAAAACTCTGCAAGGTTTGTAGATTCAATATAGATGGTAAATAGGAAAGCTTGTTAATAATGCAAAGTAGGGTTCAACTGAAAGGTTTCCTTTGTTGAATGAAGGGCAGACTAGAACGGAAATTGGTTCTTGTGCAAGAAGAGGCCTTTAAAGTGGTATCATTCCTATTGTGAAGGCAGGTACAGGCTAGATATGGAAGGAGAGTGGGTGATCTAGATAATCTTTAATTGTGGAGAAGCAAGTGCGACAGATAAGGTTGTATTTGGTTTGGGGAATCTTTTTTGTGGAGAACTGCAAGTAAGATGGGCAAAAAGCAGTAAGTGCAGGGTTGGTTGTAGTGTTCTGTGCTTCTTTTTGATGGAAGGAAGGGAAAGAAGAATAATAAGACTGGCGTGAGAGGGTGAAAAAGAAAAGGGCAGTCTTACATTAGGCCAATTGAATATCCACACCAGTGACACTGAATGGCTGCAGAAGAGAAGGTGACACAGGAATAGAAAGAATATGAGCATGTGAGCACAACAAAGACTAGACCATATACTACAGAAAAAAGAGGTGATGAAGTCACTGATAGATACTAGGTAGATGAACAACAAAATAAGAGTCACAGCAATGAAACAATTCAGCCAGGGAGGAAAGAGAAGAAATGCACCAGGAAGAGATATTGCTGCAGGAAGATGATGTAGTACACAGAAGACAGACAGGGCAGAAGACATACCCAGGGAGCATGAACACCAGAGACTAGGTTAGAAAGAAACAAGCTGGAAACCATCAAGGAATAAAGATGCATGGGAGATCCCAGGGTCAGAACGATGGCACTTTAGAGTGCCCAGAACAGCTTATAAGCCTCAGCATGGGGAAGGAAAAGTAGAAAAGGGTAGTCAGCAATAGCTAAGGCAAAATGCTGAATTATTGTCTTGAGTGTTCTTGCAGGAGCAAAATTGAGGCCAGGCTCTTTACTACGGATCCGGCGGAGAAGGGAGGGTGGGTGGGAAGGAGAAAGGGATGGGGCTTACTTGGGGTGGTGGGGAGGGCAGGGTTGGGAGTAGTGGGGTAGGGTGGTGTGGGGGGGTGGAGGACTGGGATGGGATTTGGGTGGGGACACGAGCCAAGTGCCAGGTATTGAGAAAATTCTACTGTTTGAGCTGAAAAACAATTCAATGTCTAGTGTTCAAAAAACAGATGGACACCTGATGGGAAAGATGGGATCTACCCAAAAGAGAAAGAGTAGCTTCAGGTGGGGAGGAAAGGAAAGAGGAAGGTCAGGGATGCTTTGTATGAAGTAAGGATAGACAAAAATACAAGATGGTTCTTTAGGACTCACTGTCTGTAACTGCAAAAGAATGGGGGAAATTAAAAGGGATAATAAATGGTAAGTAAACAATAATGCAATTGGGGTAAAATAAGCAAACAACATGATTGGGGTAACATCAAAATGTTCGACAGTCATATTTTGGTAGGGGTGACTAGGATGAGGCGGAATGTGTTTGAAAAAGAAAACGGCTCACTTATACAGACTGGGGGTAGGCACTATATCAGTGTGGAAGAATTAACAGCAGGGAAGGAAGTAATTCTAAGTGGAGAGTATCCTATCCATTTGAGATGAGGAAGCACTGAGATGCTTGAGTGAGGACACCAAATGGTCACCACTAGGAAGTCAGAACTGTGATATAGGAGAAAGAAGACCTGAGAGAAGAGGGGGTCATCCACTGCAGTGATTCTTAACTGGGGGGGGGGGGTGGAGGGGTTCCACCAGAGGGGGGGTGGGCACGGCCCCCAGGTGGCCTATCAGAACACCAGAGGTGAGGCAGTGATCTGCTCACAAATACTAACAATAACACCAGTTAGAAGATGGTTCTGATAGGCTACTGGGGGGCCATGCACCCCTGGGTGAGAATCACTGGTGGAAGGCGGGGGTGGGGTGGGGACTGGAGATGGCTACAGAGAAGGAAGGGTGAGCAGATGGAGGCTGTTGAGTCCAGGCAGATGGAGACATCAAAGTCATGACCATCAGACTTGGGAGAAAAGGTCCCGCTGGTGCAGGGGGATGACAGTGAGCAACTGGATGCAGTGCAGAAGGAAGGTGTGAGAAGGATGAGAGCTGTGTGAGGTTTCCTGTCAGGAGCAGGAGTGCAGTGCCAACACTGTGGTCCCTGCTGAGGACTGAGGTGGAGGAGTGAGGCTGGAAGAGATGGCTGATACATAGGTGTGATGGGTGTGTGTGGCTGGTTGTCCATGGAGAGGCAGGGACAGAGAAAAATGGAAGCAGTAGTTAATAGGAGCTGAAAGAAGGAGATAAGTTCAGGGGGGAAGAGCAGTAGTAGTCACTGTAGTCAGGGACTGGAGTACCCAGGAGAGAGGTGTCAGTCAAGAAAAGGATGGGTACTTCTGTGTTAGGGCTGTATAGGGCAGGAGTGAAGAGGGTGTAGGCATAAGACAGAAGCGTATTTGTGTAAGAACACAGTAGGGAAGCAAAGATATCTGAAACACATTTTAGAAGGATGTTAGGAGGTGCATGAAAGGATTCTTGAAAAGTTTCCATGAAGTAAGAACCCATAGTCTTGGGCTATAGCAATGTTAAGGCTGAGTACATGTGGTAAGGGATGTGCATCTGGGACAGCTTGAAGCAAAGATGCCAAATGTGCATGGGGTAAAGGTAAAGAGGAAAGTACAGTCTTGAGACCCCTACAGAGTTAGTTGCACAGTTCAGAAATGATAACTAGGGAAGCGATATCAGTACTTTAAGGGATACCACAGAGGCATCACAAGTGAAATGATTAACTGGGTTTTGGAGATGCAAGGGTGAAAGTTTTACAAATCACATAGGGAACATGACGTAAGAGTGATGATGTCATATACTGGGTAAGAAGAACAAGAAGGAGAGCCTGGGAATATAGCTTAGTTGGTAGAGTACTTGTCTAGAATGCAAGAAGCCCTAAACTTGATCTCCAACATCAGATACAACTGTGGTTAACAGTACACTGGGGAGGGAAAGGCAGGAGGATCAGGAGTTCAATCAAGGTCTTCCTTGGGTACACAATGAGTTCAAGGCCTATACTACATGAGACCATGGCACAGGAAAAAAAAATGAGAAAGAGCACATAATGAAGTCCTAGCAACTGAGAGGAGAGGGCTATTGTGAGCATACTAAATGAAATAAACCAAGAAAATAAGGCAAATGTGAGGGATTGAACATGAAGAAGTACAAACATTTCCTTCTAAGGATGAAGCTGTGGAAGAGAAAGAGCATGGCCTAAGTAAGCAAGGATGACAGAGGCCAAGGGTAGTGAGACTGCAGAGGGAGCACTATCTCAGAAATAGTCTAGGTCAGGGCTGTCCAATGAAGGACAACAGGAGGGAGGATGAGGGGAGCAGCTCCAAAAGAGTTGACAACTGTCCAGAATGGTGGAGTCAAGAAGCCAAGATGTTTTTAGAGGTGAATTCAGATAGCAGTATATGGAGACACAGTTTCCAAATGAAGGGCATTCAGATTCTAGTAGACAAGTCAAGTAGATAGGGTGAGTGGTGTCAGGGCCAGACATGTGAGGCAGAGCAGAACAGAGACAAATGCCTAAAGTGATCTAAATTAAATAGGGAAATCAGACAGCACGGCATTTTAAAATGGGACATGCATAGACAGTACCGACAAGTAACCTTGGGGACTTGGGAAAGGTCTACTCCATACTGAGACCATTATGTTAGCAGCAAAATACTTGCAAATGGCAGAGGTGCAGCTGGGAACCAATGCGAAACAGGCATTTCGCAGTGACCACTGAGCCTGTGCTTTTGCTATTTAAAAGTATCTAAAAGGAGAGAGCTGTAGTGCTTGGCAGACAGACAAGCATTGGCAAAGAGTAAAAATGACAAAAGAATGTGGATGGCTCATCAAACCCAACAAATCATTATAAATAGATTACAAAAGAGCAAACTTGTTCTGCCAGAGAACATCCTGGGGGAGAGTTAGTATGTCTAGTCGGCTTCTTTTTGGGGAGGGTTGATCTAAAGGAAAACAGGTAGGAAGAGGAAGCTGGAGAGTGGGCCTTGTGTAAGAAAAGGATGTTAAAAATTGAACACAAGTGTGATACAGGCAGGCAATAAGGAATGAAGCACTGGGAGATGTACATGCTGTGAATGGGTGGGGTCTACGGTAATAGGTAGGGGGTATTTCCTTAATGGACCCCTGTTGGTGGCATAGAAGTGATAAAGAGGAGAAAGTATGAAAAGTACTGGGTAGACTTTCAAGTTTTGTGGGAACAGGAAGAAGAAAAAAGAAGAAATCAGGATGACAGTGGACACAATGGGCCGAAAAGGTAGAGGGAAGAATCAGTAGATGGTAAGAAGAATAAAAATGATTCTAGAAAAGCACATAGAATGTGGAGAAGAGGCAAGAGTTTGAGTAGTGAGGAGAGGTTCAGGAAAGCACTGGGAGATGTATTATCTGACGAAGTGACAGTACTACAGACAAGCAAAACCTTTTTTCTCTTGGCGAGGAAAAGAAGACATAGATCAGAAGCAGAAAGTACATTGCTTCAAGAAAGCTACATCAAAGAGTCAACTATAGGAGACAGGGCAGAGGAGACACCCAGAAAGAACAGATCAGAGCACAGGGAGCAGGGAAGAAGGGACACAAGCTGGACAGGAACAAGAAAGCGGGAAGTCCTAGAGGCAGAAGGAGGCCCTTAAGAGTGCTCCAGTCAACTTGCAAACCATACTTTGGGAAGAAAAACCAAACCAAATCAAACAAGGACGGGAAGCAACCTGCAGGGAGAAATGTGATCTTAAAGCCCTGAATACTGCTATGTACGAAGGAATAAGCCAGGAAGGGAAGGAAGTGCTTCCAACTAGAGAGTGCCTGGTCCGTATGAGACAGGGAAGAAAACCCTGAACTGCTTGAGTCAAGACATAAGTGGTCACCACCAGAAAGCTAGGGTCATGGAATGGGAGAACAAAGGCCAGGGAGGACAGGGGGTCATCCACAGCAGTGATTCTTAACCAGGGGGGGGGGGTGGGGGGTTCCACCAGAGGGGGGGTGGGCACGGCCCCCAGGTGGCCTATCAGAACACCAGAGGTGAGGCAGTGATCTGCTCACAAATACTAACAATAACACCAGTTAGAAGATGGTTCTGATAGGCTACTGGGGGGCCATGCACCCCTGGGTGAGAATCACTGGTGGAAGGGGGATTGGAGATGCAAGAAAAGAAAGAAAAGGCTGGAGTGTCCTGAAAGAGAGCTGTCAGCTCAACAGCATGTCAGAGTGAAGGTGGGCACCCTTGTTTGAGGATGAATAGGCAGAAATGAGGGCAGAGGAATATTAAGAGGCAGATGCTCTCTGTGGGCTTTTCAGGAATAGTGTCAATTGAAGAGCACAAAAGGAAACAAAACAGTTTACAGGGAGCCATGAGAATAAAGTTCTAAAAGGAATTTACATAGACTCTTGGGTATAGTATGCAGGCTTGACAAGTAGTTGGACACAAAGATGAAGGAGCATGTTAGAACAATGGGTGTGGAGGAGAGATGAAGCAGAGAGTACATACCCAGGTCTACAGACTGTGCATCCCACACAACAGCTGATAGGTTTCCACTGTGGTGGGGGGTGACTATGCTTCACTGCAATAAAGAGTATGGCAGGAGAAAGGATCAGCTGGACCCAGGAGATGGGAGAAGAGGTTTAGAGTTTGCAACATGTGAGAAACCAAGAGAGTTCAGGAAATGTACTAAATCTAAAAAGTGCACTGAGGACCAAGAACAGTGTCAATTAGCCTGGTCATGGTGGTGAGAGGCTTTTAATCCCAGCACTCAGGGTGCAGAGGTAGGTGGCTCTATGAGTTTGAGGCCAGCCTGGTATGTATACAGAGTGAGTTCCAAGACAGCCAGGTTATACAGCGAAAGTATGTCTCAAAGAAGGTAGGGGGATAAATTGGGAACAAGAAAACTAGGAACTCTGTTTTTAAAGGCTGCAAAGAGAGAGAATGACCATGATTAATTCCATGGAGAAAAAGCATGGCCGGAGCAGTACAGTCAAAGGGAGAGGAAAGGTGGCCAGAGTCTAAAGGGGAGCAAGGCTGCAGGGCTGTGAGCACTAGGAAAGGGTGGTGACTCTTTATCAGAGGGCAAGGCAGGATGATGACAGGTCGGAAGAGTTGTGACCAGAAATGACTGGATGTACCTTGGTAGAAGTAGGGTTTTAGGATGGTTAGCGGTGAAATAAGGCAGTAGCTGCTCCAAATAACACTAATTGGGCCACTACAACAAGGATCTTGAGGACCAAAGGTATAATCTCTGCACGGGTACCTTGCTTTTTAATTGCAGAGGAAGAAATGAAAAGGTCAGTAACAATCATCCCAAAGACCCAGACTAACAGAAGACTTGAGTGATGCTGTAGGGAAGATATGATGAGAAACGGGGGGTTAAAAGAGTAGCTTTCACAGGCAGACTAGGATCAGGGCATGTTCTGTGTGGAAGAATAAACAGTTGGAAAGGAAGGAGGTGTCTAAAAAGAGGGAGTGTGACTAGGAAGCACCGAGATGCTTGAGTGAGGACACCAAATGGTCACCACTAGGAAGTCAGAGCTGTGATACAGGAGAAAGAAGACCTGAGAGAAGAGGGGGCCATCCAGTGCAGTGATTCTTAACCGGGGGGGGGGGGGGTGGAGGGGTTCCACCAGAGGGGGGGTGGGCACGGCCCCCAGGTGGCCTATCAGAACACCAGAGGTGAGGCAGTGATCTGCTCACAAATACTAACAATAACACCAGTTAGAAGATGGTTCTGATAGGCTACTGGGGGGCCATGCACCCCTGGGTGAGAATCACTGGTGGAAGGCGGGGGGGGGGGGTAGGGACTGGAGATGGCTACAGAGAAGGAAGGGTGAGCAGATGGAGGCTGTTGAGTCCAGGCAGATGGAGACATCAAAGTCATGACCATCAGACTTGGGAGAAAAGGTCCCGCTGGTGCAGGGGGATGACAGTGAGCAACTGGATGCAGTGCAGCAGGAAGGTGTGAGAAGGATGAGAGCTGTGTGAGGTTTCCTGTCAGGAGCAGGAGTGCAGTGCCAACACTGTGGTCCCTGCTGAGGACTGAGGTGGAGGAGCGAGGCTGGAAGAGATGGCTGATACATAGATGTGATGGTTACATGCAGACTTGGTGCAATCAGTCTGATGCAGAGGACCAAGTGTGGTTGCAGTGGTGGATGTGGAGGACAGGTCAAGTGAGGGTGCAGGCTCAGAGGTCCACAGACTACACCAGAGCATCACAGAGGGCATCAGTGGTTGGGAGGATAACTGCTTCTCAGGGCAGTGAAAGGTAGAGCAGGAGAAGGGGTTAGCTGGACCCAGGACTGTTGTGAGGAGGCAAGGGATTTGTAATAGGTGGGAGAGGATGAGAGAAGAGCTGGGCCACTGAGTTAACAAACTAGCGTAAGCAGTGGGAGGAGCCAGCAGCTGAGAGAGCAGAGGTACACAGGGCTCAGGGGAAGGCACCACACCAAGGACGGCACAGTAGGAGTGAAGGGAAAGTAAGAAGCTGGAGACTGTGGAATGGAGCAGTCAGCCAGGGGAGCAAAGAGCATGGTCTGGGTGAGATAGAGGAGGACAACAGCTGAAGGAAGCATCTGCAGCAGGCTGTGGTGAGCACGATACCCATGAAATATTGGGACACTATGTTAGAGGAGGCCACAGTGAGTTAGATATAAAGGTCTCAGACAAGTAGCTGACTTGCTTGTAATGTGAAGAACTAGGAAGCGAGGCTGGCAAGGGTGGGTTCCAACAGCATGGACTCGGGAGAACTTGTTTTGGACACAGAGGCTGACAATGTCAGGAATGGGTGAAGGTCGGGAAGGGAGCCGAGAAGGGAAGACTGATGAGGAGTTCGTGCACTGATTGAAAGGCAGCAGGTGAAGTTAGTAGTGTAAGCACAGTGTTGGTGACAGAGAAAGGAACAATCTGCAGGGGATGGTGGTAGAAAGTTTAGAGCCCCTGTATGTAAGAAAAAGCGATCTTTGGCTTGCTAGTGAAAGGTGGTGTTGAGCTGGATTAGGGCAGCTGGTGTGGGAAAAAAAGAAGAGGCATTTCAGTCTCCTGAGCTTGTGGTGGATTCAGTCAAGGATGAGGGGCCACTATGGAAAACAATAAAGCAGACAGTAGAGTTCCCTAACTGAAATCCTTGGCAGATCTCAGGGGGCAAGTTTGTTGAAAAGATGGTATTAATGTCAGATTTTAGCGGGACAGAAAAGATGAGCAAAAGCCCGGAAGTTTGTAGAATGGAACTGGATGGTGTTTATAGCAAAGGGACAAGAGTGGCTTGAGTTAATTTAGAGGAAACCAGGTGAGGTGCACCTCACAGACTACTGCACAGACACCTGTTAGAGCCACCTCTGCAATGGGACTGGACTCATAAAGAGTCCAGTACTAGACTCTCATGAAGAGAGTCCGGTAAGAACGTAGATATATGATTGTGCAAACGGCGGAGGCACAGCTGGGTACCAATGCGGAACAGCCACTTCGCAGTTGACCTCTGAACCTGTGCTTCTACTGTTCAAGATTGGCTGAAAAGAAAAGAGGTGCGTTGTGAAACAGAGAGACGTGTAAGGGGTCTTGGTGAAGCCCAGGGTAGGAAGGATGTTCCAACTACCAGGCAGGAAGGACCTTCTAGCCGTTCAAGGCAGGAAGGACCTTCTAACTGTCCAGGGTAGGAAGGACGTTCCAACTACCAGGCAGGAAGGACCTTCTAGCCGTTTAAGGCAGGAAGGACCTTCTAACTGCCCAGGGTAGGAAGGACCTTCCAATACCATGGGAATCTCACAGGTTCAGGGTGAAGGTAGGTCACTAGTCCATGAGCAGTGGAATGAGCCTGGCCTAGAAGGCCAGGTTCTGGTGACAGGTTGGGCTTAGGCTACCGTGTGCTTGATCGAGAGGAAAAACGGTAAGGAAATAAAAAAGAGGGTATAGTGTGGTATTTACATAAGGAGAATGTCTTCAAATATAAATACAAGTATAATGAATATTGTATTTCCAAGTGGCAGCAAGGAAAAGAGAAACATCCAATGGGCTTCAAGTAGTGTGTCAGCAACAAGCAAGGCTATGTTCTTTTTAGGAGGTTTGCAACAGAGGTGAGAAAGTGAGGAGTAGGATGTGGTAGGACTGGCTTTACTCTTCTGACTTGCTGCTTGAAAGAAGAGGAAAATGTTTGACATGGGAGAGCTGAAGGAATGACAGTCTAAGACAAGGAGCAGGTAGAATCAATGAAAACCCCAGATCAGTGATGTAAACAGCTTCAGTAGGTGGGACAGTGATGGGAAAAATCTGAGTATGAAAGCAGATACAGGAAGAAAAAAGTCCTGGAGACGAGAGTCATGAGTACGATCAAGTGGCATGTTGTAGGTTGTTTGAGAAAAGTATGGGCCACAGAAAAAAAGCAGAGGTTTTCTACTAACTAGAGGGCAAAAGCAGAACAGGCTTCAAGCAGTAGGGCTGTGGAAAGGGAAGTAGGCATATCAAGATGATGTAGCAGTGGAGTCAGCTGGAGAAGACAGGGCAGAAGAGACACCCAGAGAGAACAGAACAGAGCACAGGGAGCAGGGAAGAAGGGACACAAGCTGGACAGGAACAAGAAAGCGGGAAGTCCTAGAGGCAGAAGGAGGCCCTTAAGAGTGCTCCAGTCAACTTGCAAACCATACTTTGGGAAGAAAAACCAAACCAAATCAAACAAGGATGGGAAGCAACCTGCAGGGAGATCTATGATCTTAAACCCCTGAATCTTGTTAGAATGGTACAAATCTGCAGCCAGGCTCTTTACTTTGGGTCTGGTAGGAAAGGGAGGATGGTAAGGATGGTTGCAGGGACAGGATTTGGGCTAGGGTTGATACAGCTCACTGGATTGGATGAAAGGCGAGCTTTGGAAGCAGTGGGGACTGGAGTGGAGACATAAGCCTAGTTTTAGGCATTGAGAAGACATCTTGCTGAATGGAGCTCGCAGATGGTTCTAGGTCCTGTGTTTATAGTGATGACTAAAGCCTGGGAGAATACTGAAAATGCTCAAGAGAAAAAAAGAGTAGATGATGAAAGGACAGAAATAAAGGGTGAAGAGCCAGTCTGTAGGAAAAGAGAAGGAAGGCATCTTATCTGTGCAGAAATAAACAAGCATAAAGGTGGTTCCAAGAGGAGAGTGAAGTTCTGAGGAAGTGCTAAGATGCTCAAATGAGGATTTCAAGCAGTCACCACTAGAAAGCTCCAGGCATGGAATTGAAGACTGAAAGTCTGAGAGAACAGGGGGCCATCCACTGCAGTGATTCTTAACCGGGGGGTGGGGGGTGGAGGGGTTCCACCCGAGGGGTGGGTGGGCACGGCCCCCAGGTGGCCTATCAGAACACCAGAGGTGAGGCAGTGATCTGCTCACAAATACTAACAATAACACCAGTTAGAAGATGGTTCTGATAGGCTACTGGGGGGCCATGCACCCCTGGGTGAGAATCACTGGTGGAAGGCGGGGGGGTAGGGACTGGAGATGGCTACAGAGAAGGAAGGGTGAGCAGATGGAGGCTGTTGAGTCCAGGCAGATGGAGACATCAAGTCATGACCGTCAGACTTGGGAGAAAAGGTCCCGCTGGTGCAGGGGGATGACAGTGAGCAACTGGATGCAGTGCAGAAGGAAGGTGTGAGAAGGATGAGAGCTGTGTGAGGTTTCCTGTCAGGAGCAGGAGTGCAGTGCCAACACTGTGGTCCCTGCTGAGGACTGAGGTGGAGGAGCGAGGCTGGAAGAGATGGCTGATACATAGATGTGATGGTTACATGCAGACTTGGTGCAATCAGTCTGATGCAGAGGACCAAGTGTGTTGCAGTGGTGGATGTGGAGGACAGGTCAAGTGAGGGTGCAGGCTCAGAGGTCCACAGACTACACCAGAGCATCACAGAGGGCATCAGTGGTTGGGAGGATAACTTTGCTTCTCAGGGCAGTGAAAGGTAGAGCAGGAGAAGGGGTTAGCTGGACCCAGGACTGTTGTGAGGAGGCAAGGGATTTGTAATAGGTGGGAGAGGATGAGAGAAGAGCTGGGCCACTGAGTTAACAAACTAGCATAAGCAGTGGAAGGAGCCAGCAGCTGAGAGAGCAGAGGGTACACAGGGCCTCAGGGGAAGGCACCATTCCGGGAAGGTACACTCAGGATTTAGAGGGGAAAGAGAAGATGAAGCTTTCACTTCAGTTGTGCTAATTGGAGGTGGCAGTACCTTGAAAATAATCGGGAGCACTATGTCACTGAAAATCACGGCAACAGCGCTTCCAAACCAGAGAACCACTGTTCCACAATGGTAGCCCTGAGAAGCTAGTCTGGTTATAGGGGAATTCAGAAAGCATCTGGACTCACAAGAGCTTGCCCCAGGCTCAGAGGGTGGCAAAGGTGGGAGCAGTGAGTACAAATCAGGACGTGATCAGATAGGGCTAGAAAGACTCCCGAATCCATGCACCAACTGGAAGGTTCCAAGAAAAGTGTTGAGGAAGAATCAGCATGTCTCTGAAAAAATTCACATGAGAAAAATATATGGAATGGTCTTACAAGGATTAATCCTGCATCCAAAGTAGACACTGAAGAAGGTGGCAATAGGCGGGTAATAAACATTTTGAATCCAACTAGTCACACAACTGATGGGAAATGAAAGGGTTAGAGGTGGACAGAACCAATTGAAATTGTGGCTCACCCTTGATAATGGAGCCAGTGCAGGAAAGCAAAAGGCAGAATTCAGGGTTTCCAAGGTGGGAGGTGTCATCGGATCTCCAGGTTAAGCAATGAATGATACAAAGACTTTGAAGGCCTAAGCAGAGTTGTCTTTATAAGAGAGACAAGTCAGGTAACAAAGCCTTCATGCATTATAGAAACAACTTCACTGATTTTAAAAGACAGAAGAACAAAAATCACAGGAAAGTAGTGATACCATCACATGGTTGAATATAAAATCAGAAAATATGAATTAGGTTTAAGGTTTAGTGGCAGGAAGATCACAAGTTCAAGGCCAGCCTGAGATACAAAGGGAGACCCTGTCTTAGAAAGAAAGAGAAAAAAAAAAAAGAAAAAGGAAAAAAAGAAAAAAAAAAGAAAAAAGAAAAAAAAAAAGAAAAAGACTTAAAAAAAAGGACTTTAAAAAGGGGGTAGGGAACGATGGTAATTGAGAAAAGAATTGAACATAGGTTGAATTATATTGAACATGGCCTGCAACAAAATCCACATGTCCCAAATGGAAAAGAAATACTGCTAACGGAACTGGGTTATGTGACTAGTGTTCATTTTACATCATCTGGGATTTACTTAGGACACTTTGAATGGTCAGATGGGTAGGAGTATTGCTTACTGAAGATATATACTGAATAAAGGAAAATAGGAATTGTATATATTAAGAACTTATCAACAGAGAATCTAAATGCCTAAAATCTTCATCAGCTATCACCTGTGAATGGGTTGAGTAAGGAGAACAAATGGTCACATAGACATGTGTTTGTGAACAGCTTGATCAACAATCGCCAGTATTTGATAGCCAATGATGTTTACAGGTTGAGCAAAGAAAGGTATAATTAACAGAATAATATTCTGGAGAATACTAGAAGGCATGTATCTTTTGAATTGCAGAAGAATTGATTTTAAAACTGATATAAGAAAAAAAATTTAAGCAATTTCAGAATTAAACAAAATATTATCTATTATTTACTGTGTCTGGTGCCAGATCAGATATACACAAAGAAAATTATTTGTCCAATTCACAGAATCAGCATGTGGTAAGGCCAGAACTCAAATTATTACACCTATCTATTAAACCCATATTTCTCTTTAATATGCTATATTATTTTCAAATTGAAGGAAATCATAACCAAGAACTTCTATTTTTTTTCCCTTGTGACCATAAGGAAAAATATTTTTCTGAGATAAGATTGATATTAGAAAGTGAAAGAATTTGAAGTACTGGTTAATTTTTAGAGTATCTGCAATGGAAAATGTTGAAAAAAAGAAGGATGGGAGGATAGGTAAGGACTCCATTACCATCTATGTCCTGGTATTTTACTTCATTCTTTGCAAAGTAGAGTTGAGATTGGCTATGGATTAAAATTTCATGAATTTTAATAAAAACTAAAGAATAGAAAGGAGTAATCATGCATATGGTAATCAAACACCAAAATGTTGAAACAAGATTAGACTTTATAACCACATTCTGCTACTGATCAGGAAACACTCTGAATCTAACGTAAGGAAAATTCTCTCTAATTGCCAAATTTTTATAAACAAAACCCAAATAGTCCATAGCCAGCAGACCAAACATTGAGACCTTTGGGCTAATAATGTGTAAGATCTGTTTTAAAAAGAAGTTCCCTCCTCAGTAAAGAGGGCTGAGGCAGTGTCTATTACTCCTCTCTTGGGAAAGTGTGTACTCTTACTGTTGTTTTCCTATTGTCTATGTAACTACTGTGATTTTAATACTGTTGGTTTGTGTATTTGGTATTGTAAAACTGTACTTATTCTTTGAATCCCATTCCCTGTGGACTGGGTTCCTGAGTTATCCCATATTAGAGGGCATCTGAAGAGCTTGAGTAGCTAGTATTCTCAACTGCAAGGGGCTGGAATCTACTACGGGTTCAGATTTCACTTCCCTTTGTAATTAAGTGGTAAAGTAATGACAACCCTTAAAAATAAAACAGCCCATAGGTATCGCGAGAAGTGTAGTGATTGTAGAGGAATTCTGAAGCAAGGAAAAATGGCTGTTGGAAAAATAATATAAAATGCAGTCTCCTGGGATGATGGCAAAAGACACTGAGCTACATTAAGGCCGGATCCAGATATAAATGTGTAACAATGGCAAATAAAACTAGCTTTACTTGAGAACAGAAAGCTTAATTATTCTTAGCTGACATACTTCAGATACACACACACACACACACACACACACACACACACACCTAGAGAGGAAAACAGACCAGGAGAGAAAAGTGAAGCTCTAAGGAAATGGAATGTGTAAAAAATCTCACAAGGGAATAAAGGAAGCAATGGAATTTAAAGACAGATGGCCTAAAGCTCAAAAGAGAAATGTCACAGTCCAGATAGGAAAGTGTCTTCCCACCAGGGGGACTCAGCAATGGTGCCAACATGAATCTACCTCGTGCCAGAGTCTGAGTAGTCTAGTCTAGCGCCCAACACAGTTAAGACTGGTCAGGGGTTCCCATGAATGAACATTGAAGAAGGGAGTTAGGAGGGGGGCTATCAAACAAATGGAACTAAGCCCCAAATGTAACTGAATGATGACTGGGGATAACTATTTACTAGTACTTTATGATTTCTTGTAACTCTGTAACTTCCCTTATGTTTGTTAATATTGTTAATTTCTGTATTTCCTGTACTTAATTAGTAGTAAAAACTGTTTAACTATAATGTGGTGTGTGTGCTTATTTCTGGGAAAGCTGAGTAACTACTGTTAGGTGGTCTATGTTGAGTATGGGAAAATTGAGTGAGGGAAAGACTTCAATTGTGATATATTCCAACATTTTATAAAGGATATATTGTCTAGACTATCCTAAGTCCTCAAATAAATACTATCACTGGCACTAGCAGTTGGCTCTCTTTTAGACCCCTTATGCCACCTCCACACCAAGATTGAACATAGGTCAACTAAATGATAAAGCCTTTCTCAAATATGGACACAAAACGGTTGACTAAACTACTTATTAAGCTGAAACATTGCAGACCACAGCCTTATACAACAAGATGCTTAAAATGACGTGTTAAAATGCCAGCCATCTACTAAATAACCAAGTTTTCCCAGGAACACTGGAAGGAAACATCATGATTCTTCGAAGACATATCAGGTATTAGAACCTTAACTCATGGTTACATTGTTTCAACAGAAACCCTGAATTCTTTTGAGGGCTATCACTATATACATTCAGCTTCTCTTTTAGCATTATTATCAACAATCTCACAGATTTAGTTTTGAAAGTAATAGTTCTACAATAGTAACCAATTTTATAAACATACCCCCCACATAACATTAAGTTCTGGAAAGAATCATATTCTTGAGCATTAAATACTTGTCTAGACATTCTACCAGCTCAAGAGGTGATGCATTTTAGACCACTAAGTATCTTCTCCCTTCTATGAGTTAGTACCTGCTATAGGATCCTCATCTGGCAAGCGAACAAGTGTGTAACATATTCCTGGCTGATTGTAGGTGAGGCTGGGGGCTGGGATGCAGCAAAGAACTTCATAGGAATCAGATGGTTCCATTTGCACTGTTACTTTCTCCAGCAGCTGGTCATTCAGAGTGTTGGTACAATCAAACTGAAAAGTCAGCAATAGAAAAGTTGTAAAGAATAAGAAATATTTTCCAAAAAGTTGTTTCTACTCACTCATTTGTCCACAGCTCAACTCTGGAATCCACTGTATTCAACACTATAAATAGCACTATAGCCTCCTAAGATTTTTTTTTTTTAATTAGGGATTGAACCCAGGTTTCACACCTGCCACGAGTATGCTCCCACATCCCCTAAAAACTGCCCCAGTGAAACAGGCAGGCTTCTTTTTAGTTCTTCGAGTTGAGCCATCCGCTGATTTTTGTTTGTTTTTGTTTTGTTTTTCAAGATGGGTTTTTCTGTAATTTTGGGGCTTGTCCTGGAACTCGCTCTATAGACCAGGCTGGCCTCGAACTCACAGAGATCTGCCTGCCTCTGCCTCCCGAGTGCTGAGATTAAAGGCATGTGCTACCACCACCTGGATTAAATGCTGATATTTTTAAAATAGTCTATTTCTTGAGACACTCAATTTTATATCCTTTTAAATTTTAGTTATCAAAAAATAGCCCCTCAGAAGAAGAAACCTCTATACCTCTGAAAAGAAAACTAGAATTATTGCTAAATTAACCCTCTATGAAAGGAACTAGAATCATAAACTAGAGGGAAGTGCTATTTGGCTACAATATACCAGCTTATATTTAAAGGCCTAGAAAGAATTCTTTATCTCACCTGGAACACAATGTGGTCAGTAAACACGTGCTTGATACAGCGCACAAAGTATTCTGTCTCTGCCTCTGTGAGCTGAACAGGCTCAGAAGACTTGAACAAGGGCCCCAGACTCATAAACTCAGGAATGGCAGCCAACTGTTCTGTTAAACACAAAGAGAAAGAAAAGTAGAAGTACAGTATGAAGAAGATAGGTAGAGACTTTATTAAAATGCTTTAGTTACCATGGAGTAGACAGATGGTTTCATTTCTATGGCTTTACTAATAACTCAACACCCAGTCAGTGGTCTCCAAGCTTCTGTAAAATAACTCTAGATTCCTGTATGCAGGGGCGGGGGAGGACACACTAAATTGCTGATATTTTTCCCCTCTTAACCGACAAAATATGCCCAAGAACAACACTCCCAGGTAATAAATTAGTCACTGGAAAGTCCATGGACACCAGGTAATTCCAGCCACTATAACCTATGACATGGAAAAAGTTACTGAACTGAGAATTAATCAAATTGAATAAAAGTGGTGGATGTTATTAATTTATAATGCCTAGGGATTAAAATTATTACTTGTACTCATAAAAAAATACCTTGGAAAATGTCTTGCCTGGAAGGAGCCAACTTCTCTGGCTTAGGAGTCACAAGTGTGATTTCTACAAAGACAGATATAAGCAATCAAGTGAGTTTCTCTCCACTTTTAGCTAACCATGAATACAGAAAGAGATGAGGACAGTAACTTCTAGCAGATACACAGTGGCAAACAGCTTCAAGTATTGTGACATTTTATATTAAATAACTTTTAAAAAATTTCATATTGGGATTTTTCATCTTATTCTTGCTTTTGGGTAAAACTCAAGAGACAATCCTAAATTTAAACAATGTCATCTACCTTAGTACTAAAAGATCACCAATGGCGCACACCTTAAATCCCAGCATTTGGGAGGCAAAGACAGGTGAGTCTCTGTGAGTTCAATACCAGCCTGGTCGTGCCCGGCTCGAAACTATGCTATTTTTAAAAGCCTTTCCTAGTTTTATTTTCTAGGTTAAATGATATGTTACTATTTACAAGCTTTTTTTTTTTTTTTTAATAAATTACCTACACTCAGAAAAACTAACAGTTAAACAGTTCTGTTACCTGACTTCTGTTCAAAGACAGGAGCCATAGCAAGAGGAATGGACTTCAAGTCAAAGGGTTTTTCTGAAGGCTCTAGTGTGTACTGGTGTAAGGCCTTTTCCATCCCTGGTATAGAAACTGTCAGACCTATAAACAGAAAAATTTCAGCATTACAATCTCTTCTTAAAGTTCTCTGAAGGAAGAGAAACGCATATCAAAAGACTATAGCAAACAGCTTTAAGTAGTGTGACATTTTGTATTAACTGACTTTAAAAAAACTTTTTTCATCTTGGGACATTTTCTTGTACTTGCTTTTGTGTAAAACCCAAGAGAGTTAAAATTAAAATCCTAAATTTAAACAATGTCATAAGTCTTATTACTAAAGATCTCAAACGACCCTTTCATAAGAGGTTACCTAAGACCATTAGAAAACACAGATATTTATATTACAATTCATAACAATAGCAACATTACAGTTATGAAGTAACATCAAAAATGTTATGGTTGGGGTCAGCACAACATGAGGAACTGTATTAAAGGGCCACAGCGTTAGGAAGGTTGAGAACCACTGCTAGCCTAGGTATTCAAAGTAAAGATTACTATATAAAACTGTTTTATAAACCTATAAACTGCCTTATTTCTTTCAAGGAAACGTCAACAAAATGCAAGCATCTCTCAGAAAATTAAATATCTTAGCTACATGGGAACAAGAAAAGCAGAAGAAAATAAAAATGGGGAGAGATATAAGAGGGAGCCTAAAAAGAATCAGGGATAAGCAATGTTCATTTGATCCTAAAAATATATTCTTATATATTATTTCACAGGAACTTCTGTCACCAAATTAGGAAATACCTTTGTGAATATGGGGTTTCCCTAGAAATGGAATTGCATTCAAAGATTAAAACCATGCAACTGCCTAAAGGAGTCAGGTAATATGTGAATCACCATAAAATAAGTTTGAACAAGTATTATGTCCCCACATTCCTGCCTCTCACTGACCATTGAAGATATATGTAGCATTCAGAGCCATCTGTCTCTGCTGTAGTACATTCAGGTAGAAGGTAGCTCGGTCCCGTACCTCATCATCAGTATCCATCATACACCTGTTCGGAAGAAATGGCAGAGATGTGTTTCTATATCCCAAAGATTTCCAACAGTTTTGCCACCATTCCTGTAGAGCACAGTTGAGGTCACCTGATATGATTTTTATGACCGAGTCAGTAACAGTCAACATGGGCTCCTAAATTTTCCACAATTCTTGAGCGGCTATGAGTTACTAAAGAAATGCTGCCATTGCAAATCAGAATTACTACATTAGGAGGCACTGATGTCACTAGGAAGAACACAGTACCATGGCATAATAATGTAGAGTCTAACCTTGAACCCAACAAAGACTTAGCTTCTCTAAAACTAAGAAATGAACATGTTTCACTAAGGAGACAAAGAAAACTAGTACTCAGTACTATTCTGATTCATTTAAACTAGTCAGTCTTTTGTTTATGACTTAATTGCCTTAATTATAAAATGCAACACAAAATATTTGCTAAAAAGGCCTTTTCTTTATTAATTAGGGAGGGATGAAGGTCATGAAAGGTTACTATCTTTAATACTTCATATAAATCGTTTAACATCTCTTTGAAGTTAGTGCTTACTGTACAAACTGAGGTACATATGTTTACCTTACTTTTTCAAAGTCATGTAAAAGAAATCCAAAACTCAAATTCCACATCTATCCTGCACATATAATTGTCAGAAATGGAAGCACTCCATTTGCCCTCACTAGTTCTATTAGCTCTACCCTTAGCCCAGCAGTGTGTCTGACATAGTACAATGAGACTTGCCACTACTTAGCTACACGGAATCTTTATTTTTCAAAAACTGACATTCTTTTACATACCTTTGTAAGAGTACAAGGATGCTTGGGAGAAGGCTCTCATTCTGAGCTCCAAATTTAGCCAGAGCACTCACAGCAGCTATTGTGAAACATAAAATGAAGCAACATAAATATTAGCTTCTCAGAGTTAAGCAATAAGCATTCCAAAAACAAATCAGACATTTGTGAGGCCAAGGTAGGAAGATTACTCAAAGTCTGAGATCAGTCTGGGTTACATAATGAGTTCTAGGCCAGCCTGGGCTACATAACAAAAACAAACAAAAAACCAAAACCAAAGTGAATCAGAGAAGCAGCTAGTATTCAGTAGAAATAAAGTCTCATCTCATTAGCAGTTCCTTGATTGCTTAAGCATAAACAGAACTGTAAAGCATCTAGTGAGCTCTACATAAGAACATGACATACTCAGTGAGGAAAAA